AACCAACTCTTCCAGATAACAAACGCAACCGTAATGCACACACGCGAAAAATGCATAACTAACATCTTAAATCAATGAAATAAAGATTCTGACGACACAATGTTATTGGCAACCAACGACTTTTCTCTAGTAAAGGTAAGAATTAAAGCTGCTACCTTTTGCTAGCTTCACTACTAGTGGCTGTTTTTTCTAGAAGTTTAAAGAAACATGGGAAAAACAACTGGGGACGACTGTAAGGTTGAAGAAACCCTGTCTGCGTTACTGACTGCTGTCAGAACATATGCCAGGAGCTACGTGGCAAACATTTCACCCAGAGTATACTCCCTGACAGCAGCTTTAAGGCAAAACATAACATCAGCGATACAAATTCAGCACCTTTAGAATGCAGGACAAAATCTCTCCCTGCAGCAAGGTCCAGGTTTTCATTTCTCATTTTTATACCTTGAAAATAAAAAAAAAAACCAAAAGCCTAAAGAAAGAAATGTATTTTGTAGAATATATAGTGGGAATCATGGTTTTTAAATAGTTATACTGCACAAAAAGAATGAAAAACACAATGTAGTTCTGTCTAGTGACACATGATCACAATAGCAGCACAGGTATCAGCCCAGCAACAGTACGCTGAGGGTCAACCAACCAGAAGACAACAGAAAACCCATCACAACTACTAGTATCGTACGCATAAACAACAACAACTCTCAGCACCGAAGACGAGTAACAAGCAGAAGACAGGACTTACCAACATTGATGACATTGGCCGACAGGAAGTGGCTGCAAGCGAGGCTGACGATGCTGATGAAAGAGTCTCTGTCTGAGGTCACGGTGGTCCTCGACCTCAGTGAGGGGTTTGGAGAGTCCGTCACCATGGCCATTCTAGCTGCCACTGACTCCATGATGGTCAGATATCACAGGTTGGAGGTCAGGACTGAGATGAAGATGGTCGGTTCCTGATTCACTGGTACGATAACGATAAATTTTCCAAGGTTGGAGAAGTCGGAGGTCTGAGGCAGTGGACAGAGGTCCCTCCAAATAAAAGTAGATATTGACGTGGAATTCAAACTTTCGATGAAGTTTCCAAATGTCAAAGAGAGACGATGAAGGTAGTCCTAGTCTGTACTGTGTGATGAAGAGGTCATGATGACAGTCATCTGTCAGAGACACCGACCCTGGAAGCTGATTGCTCGCCTCATTCGAATCATAATCACAGGTGAAGGTGAAGCTGCAACAGTCACCTATGAAGGAGGAACAAGGAGAAGAAAAGAAAGGTGAGAGTGAGACGTGAATTTAAGAAAAGAAAAACTTTAAACATCCTTTAGACAATCGTGTTTTAGTCAGCTTTTAGCTGATGCTCAGCTGACTCCATTAAGACAACATGACTGTCTCTCAACCTGCTCCATATCCACTGTCCCTTATTCATCACTTATGTTACTCAAAATGAGATTATGATTTACAATACTTGCAATTTTTATAGAATAAGATCTAGAACTAGTGAGTAAAAGGGCAGAAAAACATTTCACAGACCTCATTCCAAATTAAATCCATTAAAAACTAGCTGCACGTATGACTAAATGTATATTAAAAACTAGCTGCACGTATGACTAAATTTATATTTTTAAAAAAATTGAAAAATTTAAATTTTAAAAATTAAAAAAAAAAGATCTAAAATGAGGTCTGTTTTGTAAATTGTTGTGTCCTACTTGGTTCACATACAGACCACTGCAGACAGACGGAGGTCAATGCAGTCCACTCCTCATGCCTTAAGGCTGCTCGACAAACTCCATCTGACCTCAGACTCCATTTGTGCTCCCATTGTTGGATGCCATTACACAAGTGAGACTTACATAATTCAGTTATGTAAATACCAGCGCAAATGCAGTCCATTGACAGAAATGTGAATTCAAGAGCTCGTGATTCATTGATGTACAGGGCTTTTAAACAGAACTTCATTGTGCACACAACACAGCCTGACAACTGCCAACATGTCAGACCACACCTCACACTCTCCTCAGCTCTCTGAACATCCTTTGTTTACCTACCTGGCCTCCGTCCGTCACCACACAAATAGCCAAGAGCCTAAGGACCAGATCAACGTCAAAACCTCTGCGCTCAGCTGGAGAGAATCCTTATTGATCAGATTTTAGGGAGCGAAAGATTTACTGTTGTGCTGCCTATAACGTCCAACGCTTCTCCTGCCAACAAGTTAACAATGAGTGTGACTAACGTGCAGTCAGGGAGTCAGTCTTGGTTTTGTAGACGATGTGTGGTTGGCGGGTTGGCCGACATGTTCAGAACTGTTTGTGGGAGGCTGGCGGTCAGATTGCCTGAGCTGCAGGTCTGGACACGTTCCTGTTACCATCAAACATACATATACACACACTATCTGGACAGAGACAAGTGTGTGTGTGTGTGTGTGTGTGTGTGTGATGGGGGCTGTGGTCTGGCTGGAATGTTAAGTGCTAATTCCAACACTGACATGCTGGCGGAAGTTTTTCCCTCCATTTTTTCATTCATTCATCCATTCACCCCTGATGTTGTAATCGTACCTTAAGGGGAATGTAACAGATGATGTCATTAGTCAACGACAAGCTGGAACAGTTTTGGAACACGCTAGCCGCTGTTTGAGAAAGGATACAAAGGTTTTATAGAAGAACAGGTTAGAAATAATGTCCTGTTGACTAGGTTTTAGTTTGTTTTTGGGGGGAAACTGTTGTAAGGGTTTTTTTTTTTTTACCAATTTTGTATCTACAGTATGTCTGTGTAAAGTTTAAATCCTTTATAGTTGCCTCAGACTTCAAATACAGCTGTTTTATAGTCTGTCTTTTTATTTTGTTTTGTCATTTTGTTGTTGCTAGGGTAACTTCTTGCTCTCTTTAAGCTATTTTTACTGCATTTTATGGTTAACGTTCAAACATTTTTCTGCATATAGTAAATATTTTGACTTATTGTTAGATGTATACAGAGCACACAAAGCTTTCATTACATATTTTTCAGACATAGCCACTGGTGTCCATTAACCCATTAAAACAGAAATGAGAATTCGGTGTTGGTTTCCCCTCTTCATGGTCGCTCCTGAGGCTACAGTAATGGAAAAAATAGAAACAAATTTTTCAAAATTACATCCCCACATTACTGAATACATTTTCAATTACATTTTGTGAAAATGTATTTCATCATAATAAGCAACAAGAGTAGCACTGAGTACTAAATAAAGACAGCAGTGTGTCCACACTGAGGGCTACGGCCCTTTGGGAACATCAACACCAGGTTGAACTTAGGGTTAGTGAATAAATTATAGGAAAATTATAAATCTATGGAGACAAAAACAAAACACAGGAACCGCAGCCTGCAACCATCAGAACCTCATGCTGGAAACGTGAGATAACAATCTCGTCCAGCTTTTCCATTCTGACTTGCCTTGACTTGTTGGTGAAGTGACTTCTCCTGCTCTGTCTAACCATAGATGTGAAGCTGAAACATCATTAAAACAACCACTGCTGTGGAGAAATCCCCAGTTCATATTTTTACGCTATCATCGTACAGTAGATAAATTATAGCAGAGTAGGATGTAGGCAAAGCCAGAGTTTTATTTTATGCGAGGGAAAGGGGAAGAAAACTCATCAGTACTCAGCTCACAGCTAACTCTCTATCATCTTCACTTCAGACCTTCCACTTTGATGAGGCTCAGTACCAGCTGCTCACTTGAACCTGATCTATCCTTTATTTACGCTGACAAATCCAGCAACGTACAAGATTTAAACAAGCTGTCATATGAGTGTTGGATTTTCCCCACACTTTAATTCATTATACGAGTCTTATCAAACACTCTCTTAAGTCCGGGGCTGAACTCAAAGTGTTTGATCTACTGCATCAAGGAGATGACGCTTCATTTAAACATGCTTTGCCTTTGATTTTATATAATTCTCTAAAACACGGCTCTAATAAGAGTCTTCAGCAGACCATCCCAATCTGGCCAAATAACTTAAAGTTATCATTTTTACTATTTACGGGGGACGTTATGCCTCCTTAGCGGTTGGCAAGCAGGGAGCAGAGAGTCCTGGGTTTTGATTTCCCAGAGGAACCACATATTCCCTGTCACTTCTCGTGTGCTGGCCTGTCAGTTGCAACCGTGACTGGGCAGGACAGACCCTCACCCATGATTGGGATACAGGTTTGACTAGTATTAAGAGTTAAGTAATGAATAGATGACATGTACAGTTGCCACACCGTCCCATAAAACTGCAGTATTTTTTGACACGTTGTAAACACCACATGGTGAGTGAGGCTGTTAGTGCATGCACGTGGCCATTAAACGGAACAAAAGAGTTCCTGAAAGCTGTAACACTAGCTGTGGGTTGACTCCCTCCCTGTTGTAAAGTACACTGAGGTTGATACAAGCTCCACACCAGCACTTAACCTTCATTTCCCAGCAGCCACCCTGACTAAACGGAGTAAGACAGAGTGAAAGCTTTACGCCTGCAAGTAGTGTTTTTAACCAGAGCAGAAAAAAACATTCAGTCTCAGACCAGTATCTGTGGCTCAGGAAGACCAAAGTCTGCACAAACGCGCCAACAAAGGTGTGAATAATGCATTAGGGGAGTTTGGAGTGTTTGCAGAGCGTGTTTTATCGTGTGGTTCATACTCCGGAGTGTTGTTGTGACTGCCTTGTTACACTCACTTTAACTGCCTGCTCTCCGGAACTGCTTGTGAGTGAGCAGGAGGGAGATGGAAGATACACACAGAGAGAGAGAGAGAGAGAGAAGAACACACACACACACACACACACATTCACATTCGCTCACAGTTCTGATAACAGGGTAACAATAAAACTCTGTCCGTTGAATGTGTGTGTGCACCCATGCCCGATTAATTTGTTTAGCATTTGCACATGCTGTATCCAAATATCACAGGGCAATTAAAGCAACAGACGTAAAATAACAGCTCTAGTTACAATTTATCATCATTATTTATATTTTTACAAATGTTTATTTAAAGCCTTTTTTTTCTTTTGTTTTTACTAGTACGATTCGGCTAAGCTCAATATAATATATATTTTCTTACTTCTAACAAGTAGTTGTTTGAAAACAGAAATGCTGTGTGTGTTTGTGTGAATTAAGACAGTTGGAAACGGAGGCCAGAGACTCCACGGCATGAATTTATGATAATGGAGTCAGTAAGTTGTTTTTAGATCCCAGTGGAGGACAGTTAAAATATCTTGCTGCAAAATAAATCCAAGGTAATTATTTGTTGCACCAAAAGACTGTTACAGAGGTTGGGAGGATGGAGGATGAACAATACTTAGGTGGTTGAAACCCAACCCACTGAAACTCAGAGTTTCTCTTTCAAAAGAATTCATTTCTTATCCACACAGAGGTGTTTAGTGTTACACAACACAGCTCCAAGGAAGGTTTGCATGTGTTGGTTTTGGTGTCTTGTTACACGTTTGTAGACATCTATAAACTGAATGCAGTGTTGGCTGACAGACAGAACAATACGGTGGAGCAGGAAATAAGAGCGAAAGCTCCTGTGACTGCGAATTGTAGTCGTTCTGGTGCCATTATCAGAATTGAAGTGATGAAATGTCTTTGATCATTTGGGACCGAATCCTCTGAGTTCTCCATCTTTCCAAAGTCAACACCATTCAGCTGAATAAATGAATAAGCAGCTACGGCAGCAGCAGAGGCTGCAGCAGAAACCGTTCTTTCCCAGGAGCCAGGATTGTTTTCAGTCTGTACGGTCTTTATCTCAGCTAAGGTGCCGGGTTTCACCGATGTTAAATCCCCTTCGTCTGCACTGAATGAGGCTGAAAACCAACACCGTGGTGAAAAACAAGCCTCCTCAAAGAGTCGGAGAACCCACCTTCCCCATCAAAAACTGAACGCAGGTTTTTACTGTAGCTGCCAAAAAGCCCGGGGTGCAGTTGGCCAGCAGCGAGTCAAGAAGTCATGCATGAACGCAGAGAAAATACAGTTTTGTTCTCCATGTAAGGCTGATCTTAGTAAGATGAAATGAGAGCAGGAGCAAAAAAACTGTAAAAGAAGTTCTTCAGAATGTGGGCCAGCGATGGTGTTCTATTTCTTGCAGCCAGGCAAAGGCTCGTGTGTTAATGCTTTGTTACCAAGAAACAAAACAATGAATCAGCAGGACAATGACAATCTCTGAGGGCCTCGATCTGGTCAAATACAACACATGAGCACAAACACCGGAGCAGAGGCTTTTCTCCATTAGCTCCACC